CAGGGCTGCTCTCCACACACTCCTCTCCCCACTGACCCTTGTGTCCCTGCATAGAAACATCACCCGAGGCAGCGCTGTTCCCCCCAGCCCATCTGCTGTCCCCGCAGCCAAGATCCTGGGGTCCCAGCAGGTGACCTTGACACTATTGTTGAGATAATGCGCAAAGAGGTGCTGAGCATCACTGGTTCCTACCTGGCAGCAGTGGGGGTCAGCCAGGATGGTTGTGGCAGTGTCCCTATACCTGGTGATTTTGGTGGCAGTGGCAAGAGGGGAGACCGGTGGCAGCAGCCTCCCAGAGCTGCCGACTCCCATTCCCGTCTAGAACCTCTCAAAAGCATTTTAAATGAGACCAACATCCCCAGCAGGGCCACATCAACGGGGACACCCCTGGGTAGCAACGTTCTGCCCAGCCCATTCGCTGACCCCTACAACCAAGGCCTTGGGGAGGTGGATGATTACATCCGTGAATAGTCCAAGGAGGTGGAGGAGGCCATGCGCTCCCTCGGCCTGTACAAGGAGATGGAGATGGTCAGGGAGGAGGGTCCCATTCTGAGTCCCGTGGCTGGGAATCCTGGTGGCACAGGCACAGCCATCACCCCCTGTGGCTTCACCTCTCTGCCACTGCTCAAGGAGCTGCTCACCTCCAGCTACAGCGTCCTTGAGATTGACAAAACTGTTCAGAACCTGGAGGACTTGAGCACCATTGGGATGGAGCCCTATGGGCAGTGGGTGGAGATGCCGATGGACCAGGGACCATGCCAGCCTGCCAGGGCAGGGATAAAAAGTGGGATAAATCATGGAGGGAGCCACTTGCCCACACCCGCACCAAGCGCAGTGCTCTCTTAGGGCAGGATGAGATAAGGGGTGTCTGTGTGGGAGAGGAGGGTGGGCAGGAGTCATGGTGGCAGGCAGCCAGGACTTGCCCAGCAGCACCCCAATGCCTTTGGTCCTTGATGGCAGCTTCAGAGAGCGGAGAATGGTGGCCCCAACCTCCCAGAGCTTCCGACGTCCATCCCCGGCTACGAGCAGCTCAAGAGGCTTTTAGAAGGCACCAGTATCTCCAGCACGGCCACATCAATGGGGACACCCCTGGGCAGCAACATCTCCCCTGGCAGCGACTGGGAACTCCTCTCTTGCTCTGAGAATGAAACAGTGTCACTTTTGTAGGGACTGGTGTGGGGCAGTTTTCAACAGCAGATGTGTACAAAAATAAAAGCCAAGCACCCTTCAGCTCCATGTGGGTGATCCAGAAACCCAGCACATACGCTGGAAATCTGGTTAAGAAAGGGCAGGGGACAAATGCCTTGAGAGTTCCCATTACTCATGTATTTGAGTGTTTCCGTTATCTGAAATAAAGCTCTCTGATGGGCAGAGTACTTGGAGGAGTCCTTAGCAGTTCTGGAACTGATAGCAGCAAATATTTCCTATCCAGAGTGGAAATAGTGCATGGAGAAGACAGTCAGTGAAAATAGGATTACATACACACTGTCTATCATTCCTTCTGCAGTTCCATCACCGTGGTAGGAGATCAGATAATGTCCCCCACCTTGCTAATTGCACTGCTCTAATGTAGAAGAGGCTATGGTCCTTTGACCTTCTCTGCTGGTTATAAGATGATGTGCAGAGTCTTCTAATTCCCAGCTGAAGCAGGATTCCTAGCATTTCTTTCAGAATGAGGAGAGCAGCACAGAAACCTCACTCATAAACGTGTTTCTATAATGAATGCTTCCTAACAAACTGATGGGATGAGATGAAAAGAGCAATCTCTCTCTACCCAGCATGAGAGCGTGCCCGTACTCTCCTCTGACACAGCTTCCATAGGCTACTGCAGCATCCAGGGAGCAAGCCTCATCCATGACTATTGGCCAGCAGTCCCAGGGTGAATGAAATGAGATAAATTGACCTCCCACTTAGCAATGGTAGATGGCTTCCCCAGAGCTTCCTTCCAGCTCCATAAATCAGTTATTCCAAGCAGAGGTTTGCCAGAGGGTGCCTCATCCTTTCCAAGACTCTCAGCCTGCCCTCCTCTCCCAAAGCCATTTATTTGGAAAGAGCAAAGAGAGGTCCCAGCAAAGCTATGACTAATGCCTGGCTAATTCCCAGAAGGGAAAGTAAACCAGTCCCCAAGGAAACAGTCTTACGCTTGCCTGACCCAGGCTGTGACAGCTGAAGAGAGAGCTTGTTCTTGCCAGTAATAAAAGCTCTTTCCTCATCCGAGTTACAAAGGGCAGTTCTTCCATCTGTGTTAAATCTGCAGGGCCAGTGGTGCAAGGGCAGACGCCAAGAAGTTGACTGCAGCAAAGATTTGCAGCAGTGCACCGCAGGGATTAACCTGGGTGCAGTCCAGAGGAAAGGCTTAGTGTGACTCTTGTCCTAAACATTTTAGGTGTTAAATGCTGAAGTTACTGGGTGCTTTTCATTGCCACAACCAGGCAAAACTTACATTCACCTCCCCAAGTACTTGTTTTCTGCTTTGAACACCAAAACATACATAGTCCTTACTGCAGTGCTCATCACATTCACAGGCATGAAACAACCGCTCAACTTCTATACACACCTCCACTGCAAGCTGCTCTTCACGTAAGCCTAAAAAGCAGGTTCTGAGAGGAGCAAACAGGCAGCAAATACAGCATTGCTTAATAAATGGAAAATACAGTACACAAAGCAACGAGGTTCAATGAAGTTGAGGAAAAATCTATTAAAATGAAGAATACTTCAAATTAGACATTTTTTTCTCCTCAAATGTGCATGTTTTAATTTAGTATTTTTAGCGCTTTATGCTTCCTACACATTACCAGCTCATTTGTACATTCCAGCATTTTTACATACTTTTTAAGCTACATTTGTTCTTTTACTGACAATTAATGGTTTATTCAATTAATATTTTTATATTCACCAAAGAGATATAAAATCTTTTCTCTTTGAAAAAACTAATCTTTTAGTGATCTCCCATGTTCTGCTGCAGGCAATATTTTGCAGGTGTACGTGGGAGCTGGGGAACAACAGAGCTGGAACTGCCAATGTTCATTCTCCATTTGGAGGAGAGAAGGATTCCAGCACTCGGCAACTAGTTCTTAGGAGGAAGGATCCTGCACTGAAATAACTGCAGTTAGTGCAGCTACTATTGTGCATTTTGCTCATATGAATTGAACTAAGTTTTCTCTTTCTAAAGGAACATGGAATGTCTCGTTCCATCAGTTCACTCTGGGCAGTGAGCAGGAACACTAAAAGACCTGCCTCTAAAACCTAATCCTAGAGCGAAACTTCTCCCTTGGAGAAGTTGAGGTACCCAAATAGCTTTCCAGGGTAGGCAGCATCCTCTGAAGGGCCCCTGCAAAAAAGAGTATGAACATGAACCTTACTCTTTCCATGCAGGTTTCACCCTTCTGCAAGGGTTGATTGCAAGGATGCCCAAGAGGGACTTTTCATCAGGGACTGTAGTGATAGGACAAGGGGTGATGGGTTCAAACTGAAACAGGGGAAATTCAGGTTGGAGATAATTAACAAGTTCTTCCCTGTGAGGGTGCTGAGGCGCTGGCACGGTGCCCAGAGAAGCTGTGGCTGCCCCATCCCTGGCAGTGTTCAAGGCCAGGTTGGACACAGGGGCTTGGAGCAAGCTGCTCTAGTGGAAGGTGTCCCTGCCCGTGGCAGGGGTTGGAACTGGATGAGCTTTAAGGTCCCTTCCAGCACAAACCAGGGTAAGATTCTACAATTTCAAGGAGCTTCAGACCCTGGAGGGGGTGAGCAGAGTGCCTCTGTAGCATGACTTTGCAAAGCAGGACTGGAAAAGCTCACTAAGTCTGAACTGCAGAAGGAATTTAAGTTTGAGCATGTCAGCAGGGAGCAAAAGTACGTGAGAGCAGGAACTGCGCAACAAATGACCCATGGTTTTCTGTACAAAAAAGGGGGAAGTTCATGGGGCAAAGAACCACAAGGAAGGAAACTATTTTAACCTTATTTTAAATAAAATAGGTTTTAGTTTAACAGAAGTGTTTTCTGACCTAGGAACACTTTCCTGGTACAGAAGGAACCCAGTATCCAGCTTTGCTTTCATGATGCTGTGCCAACACAGCTTGCTGTGCAAGAGAAGACTTTCAAATTCTTATTGAAGAGAAAAGGTCAGACTGAACTCAAATGGTTTCTCAATGAAATGCAGCTTAATGTGGATTTGGCTAACTTTCATGGCTCAGTGCCAGGCAGCAACTCCAAAGGTTTTTTCTGAGGCAAGATCTTCAACCTTCCTTTGCTTCAGTCCTCCTTATTCAGGGAAGGAGAGTAGAGCAATGAGACTGAGAGATCTTCATAAAGCAAAAACTTACAGGGTCTTGCCATGGAGTTGCTATAACTTGCAAGTAAAGGTATCTATGCCAGACAATGTGTCTGCTGGTTTGTTGCTGGACAGCATCTCACCTTAAGGGAAGAAGGAGAGTTGTCATCTGTAGGTGGGATGAACAGAAAGTTGAAGCCATGTGTGCTGCAGAGATGGACGGGTCATATCAACAGTTTGTTTCAAGCTCAGGTTGGGATGGACTGGAGGGTGACATCATGGCAAAATCTTTTATTTGTCCCCATTTCATGGCTGGATCTGTGAAAGAATGATGATGACAGTTTGGAAAAGCATCACCACAAGTGCATTTCTTTATTTTGTTGTCTTTCTTTGTTGTTGTTAAGGCGGTAAACCTGATGTCTTCCATCAATTCTTCTGCTCCAGGTACATTGTTAATAGCAGAAGCAAAACAGGATGCCTTATTTATTATGTATAGAGCTTTGGAAAATCATAAAAAGTGAAAACCTAGACAAGTCATCCAACTCCTCATTAATGGCCTTCAGCAACAGGGAAATGAGACTAACTGTAGTAAAAATGCAAATAAAAAGCAACACAGGAATATTCAAGCCTTTGTCTTCATTACAGAATCAACAAGAAATATGTTTTAATTTAGGCAGCCAAAAGTTTAAAGTCAAAAAAAGGAAAACAAGCCCCAGTCTTTCACATGTGTAGCTCTGGCAGCAAGGAAGTCTTGCCAAATTCCTAAACACTTATATCACAATATATACCTCCCATTGGCCCACATGGGCTCTAGCAGCCTGTGTCAACAGTGCAGAGAACAAGTCTCCAGGAACAAAAGTGCAGTTTTCCTCTGAGGACAGGAGGAGCCTCTTTTGAAGTCTCTTTTATGGTGAAATTATCAAGACCCATTGAACTGAACTTGAACAGAGTTTAAAGTGGGATTTCTGACCAGTCCTTGCTTCTTCTTCCCAGATGTTTCTCATGCAAGAAGGGCTCAAGCACAGTGACAACATCTGCTCTAAGGGCTTTTCAGTCGTGTTAAGGAGCAAGACTGATCAGCAGCTGCATGAGAAATCCTCTTCAAGGTAAGTCTGAGACAACGTGCTCTGGATAAAATGTGGGAACTTGAGCAGTGCAATTGTGATACCAGCTGCTTTTGAGGAGTCTGTTACACAGCCACCAGCTCATGACAACTCTTGGCTTTCAAAGACTGAGCTAGTGACATAGAGGAGAGAGATCTTCATGCAGCTACCTAACCTCAAAGCCCCTATGTGGTGAAGCCTGTGCAAACTGAATTTAGTGCTGAGAAAAGGGAGCTCAAACAGGTACAGAGCCCTCACTCACTGTGTTGTGTGTATGTAATTTCTACCTCCACATAAAACACACCAAGGAGAGACCATTTCACGGGGTCTGTGTGCTCTCCTGCCCTGACAGACATCATAGCACTTTTCTGCTGGTTTACATGTGCAGATATTTGCCCGGATAAATAGGTTTAGAACAGTTTGAATAAGATGCACTTTCTCTTTGGAAGCTGGATCCTGGAAAAGATCTACAGCATAACCACAGAAAGGAAAACAGGGAAGTTGGCACTGGACAATGCATCAAGGGTAGAAATGTCCAGGCTATGTGAGATGTCACTAGCCTATAGATTTAACGAAAATGTGTTGATGGACACATTTGCTCAAGCTCAATCTTTATGAAAACTGTTTCATAAAACAGTTGGATACAAACCTTTTTAAAAATGCAAGATACCTCCTTTCTTTTTTATCAGGAGAGTCACAGACAGTAAGCTCAGCAGGAGCAGAACTCCTTAAGGTGGTTACATACACAGCTGGATGAAATGGACTCTGTTAGAACTGGACACTGTCCTAACACAACCTGTGAGCGCCAAAGGTACTAACCAGAGGGAAAGACTTTCCAAACCGTAGTTGGAGGCAGACCTTTTCTCCCCAGCAAGTGTCTCAGAAACCCCAAGGAGTGTCTCCATAAAGCTGTCTGCTTGGCTGGACTGCCACAGTGCTGCACAGTGCTCCTAAGACAGCCCATGCAGCAATGTGGCCTTAGTGCTGGACTCAGAACTTGCCATGCAAAGGAGAGACAACTGAGAGGGGTTTGAGCAGAAACCTGCCCAGCATGATGGAAACATCCCTGGCAACGTGGCACAAGCATCTGCGGTGCGGCAAAGCCAGTATTTTCCCCTCTCTTGTTACTCGTCCCACAAGGAAGCAAAGGACCACAGTAGCACATATACTGTAAGAGAGGGCTTGAGTTATCATGTTGTGTCTCTCAGGACACAGCGAGAACCCTCACATGCTACAGAAAACCAAGTGGAGATCTAGTAGGTTATGTAGATCAATTGCAGGCCTAGGATGAGGGAAGCAGAAAGTGATATTCCAGCCATTAAACAGAGGTTCAAGCCTTAATAATGCACAAAGTGAGGGAAATGAGAAGCTTTTAAACTGATGTTATTATGCACTGTAGCAACTGCCAGGAATTAAATGCTAATGTCATTTCTTGCTTTTATTCCTCTCCAGCTCAGCAACAAGCCACTCTCTGCAGTCTCTCCCTGTATCTGCAACTGTTCCTGTTGCACACATTTGACACCTGTCTCTAGACAGTGGACGCTCCCCCATCAAAATACGTCTCCCCCCCAAATGCCTCAAACCCAAGAACTTCACCATGGATCCAGCAATATCTCTACCTGAAAGCACCTTTCCCCCACCCCACCCTGCACCCCCCCCAGCATTAAGCCCAACAGGCTGGACCTTAATCTGAGATATTACTCATATCAATTCTTTCATACCAGCAGTAAAACTGCTGCTTATAAGGCTCCACTTTAGCCATTTGAGCTTTCTCAGACTTATCTTTCACTTCTGTGTATAGGAAACAGTAAAAAAAAAAACACAAAACTATTGCATTTACTTCTCCTTCCTGATTTGCTGCATTTAAAAGGAAGAAACAGTCCAAGGTTGGCCAACTGGAAACTTGCAGCATGGCAGCTTCCATTGCTTTCCTGCCTCCAGGAACACAGGAATAAACCCAGACTTTCTTTTCCCCTGATCTCCAGCTTCTGGCTCTGCATTTGCACATGCAGCGTGCAGTCAGTTACTTTCTCTTACATGCACTCACACCTCTAATTAAACAGAAGATCATTTCAGCCTTTGGTTATTTCCTTTTACACAGGGCTTCCAAGCCTACATTACTTCTGCTCTGTCCAACCTGCAGTTTCACACACCACCAAAGGCAGGAGGATTATGCGGGCAACACATCATTCTCCAGCAATACTGGTCTTGTTTGGCAGCCCCTGTGCGATCCCCAGATGACTGAGAAGCATCTCAGTGATGCTTACAGTGCAACAGAGCGCGTTCAGATACTACAGACAATTAGAAATGCAACCAAAGCACAGGATTGCCTGGGGAAAGGAGGGGGGAAACAATCCCATGGGGCTGTTAACACCTAGAAGCTGTTTAAAACTATAAATCAGTCTTATAAGGGTGTCCTGCAGCCCACATACAAGTGCACTGTGCTCTCCTCAGCCACAAGTAATGGTCCTGAATCCCCTCTGCAACTCTAAGTAACTGCTGTCCTTACCTCTATGAATGGCTGCTGTTTTACAGTCACCATGGGTACTGCACCCAAAATCAGACCACGGCAGAGGTTTAATCACAGCAGTAGCGATAAACATGAAAATGGTGTTAATGTGAAGCAAAGAACCTGGAGAGAGAAGGGAAGGAAAAAACCCAAAGCCACTCAAACCCTATTTCCAGGGGAAGAGAAGACCAAGGTGAAAATCAGAAAGCCACAAGATCACAGGCAATTATGGGTGACTTTCTTGGCAGTCACAACTTGCAAATCAAGGCCACCTCCTGCCCTGGTGGTTGATTGCCAGGAACAAGTTCATTAACCAGCGCTAATAAATGCACGTCTGGTCTGGGCTTTAACCAGCCAGCTCCACCTCCTCTTGGCAGCTTCCCCTGCCTGACCTCCTGCGATTGCCCGCAGTCCAAATGGAGCCCTGGGGAAGGTCTGGGGGATGTTTTATCTTGCACCAGGATTAATTCAGCCTGAAAGCATGTCCTGGTGTCCTCCCATCACCTACAGGAGAGCATCTAATCTTTCTTTTGGCTTTTTGTTTCTTTAACCTTCCCTCCACATCATTGATCTTTCCCGTCTTCCTGCAATCACCTTCATGCCAAAGGGTCACTGCCAGCTCCTTTTCTCTTTCAGCTGATATTTGCAAGCATTTATTTTATTTAACATGTTGCTTATTGAACTTTTTCCAGTTCATGTGTCTTATTTTAAAACTACAATTCGCAAAACAGCCTAATGCTCCAAATGGTGCTGAACCAAGTGGAATAATTACCTCACTTGTTTTAAGCCTCTGCTGGAGTCCAGAATTATACACTTGGAAAATTATGATTGTTTTGTCTTCTTTTTTTAGTTGCACAAGATGTGTGAAAGACAGGTTTTTATAAAGGACAGAAACCAGCCAAAACTGTAATTACCACAGACAGAACAGAAATCAGAGAAAACATGATTTTATGATTAAGGCATTGGAGTAGAAACGCAGGAATTCATATTATCTTTGAGGCTCTGCCAAACCCTCTCTCTCTAACCTTTGCTGAGGGAGTTAATTCCCCTGTGCCTCAAATAAAATACTTTGGCACTTCCCTGTTTTACGACCCCTCCTGCGGAAACACATTCATTCCCATTGGTGAGATGTTCAACTCCACCAATACCCGCAGAACCACACTGGTGGGGACGGTTGCAATCATCTGGCTGAATTTAATCATCTCTTGTCAAAAACATATGCATCTTTAATCCCAGGCACACGGGATATAGATGCACTGCTCAGCTGACCGAAATGTCAATTCGTATCGCACTGGAGATGTGGAGTCCAGAGCAATTATGGCAACTCCTAGGCTTCCATATTGATACTAAGTACACACACGAGGGGGCTAAAGCACCTCCCATAAGCTATTAAGAAACACTGCTAAAGGCATACCCATTGTTTTTAGAATAACCCTGGAAATAGGATGCCAGAGGAGGCGGGGGGACGGGGGCTGTGAAAGTTTCCAGGACCTGATGAGGACCCTGGAATTTGAGAGTGAGCTCCATTTTAAAACCCTTGAGCTACAGCTCACATGGAAAAGCCGGAAAGTCAAGCCCTACAGGCTAAAGCCACATAAGAAGCGAGAGTCACTGGTGGCGTGTGTGAAGGCAGCTGCCTTCACCCGGCACTTCAGTGCCTTGCTGGCAGCTTTGGGCACAGATTAAAGCATATTCAGAAGGTCTTTTATGCTGCCACCATGAACCATGTTTGCCTCATGCACTTGCATAGAAGCTGCTGCCACCATCCTCCAGCCCAGGGAGAGAAGGCAAGCTCACGGGTGTCTCCCTTCTTCTCTTTTCCTCCCAAGCACCAAAGAGTGGGAAGGCAGCTATGTCAACCGATCCCCCCCTTCCTTTTTCATTGCTTTAATAAATTAAGCTGAGCAACAATAGAGATGAGAGAAAGCAGGACAATGTGGTAAATGTAGCAGAAAGAAATTTGAATTGTAATGAGGAAAGCTAATCAGGAAAAGAATGGACTATAGAAAAAGCACTAATGAGTTTCTAAATAAATTCAAAAGGTTAATATTGTTCTATCTAGCAAATACGAGAAGAATCCTAATGTGAAATTAAAGGCCTCACTCCAATGCCCTTGTGGCCACATGTTAAAGCCACACAATCCACCCTCTCTATTTACCACCCCAGCCTTCTGCTGCCTCTCATAGATGGCTGTTGCACATGGGATCCCTTCAGATGAGCTGCATCTCACCATCTCTTATGTTTCTGTATATGAAATGTTTGATCCAAAGTGCAATAAGTCAATGGACAGGTTCTCTTCGACTCACGGATTGTGCAGCAAGATTTTTGTGACTCATTTGTGTTGGTATTAACAAATCAGTAATCAAAATGCTGTTTTCTAACCATGAGAGATATGTGTGTATTTGTGAAGTGCAGGATGATGTAGTTTTCAAGCACACTTATAATCACTTCTGTTATCAGGTGGATTACCAGGGTGAGTAAAAAGCCACTGAGGAAAGAGTAAGTAAAAATAAAAGCTTATACAAATAAAAAGCTGGAGGGTTTTTGTTTGTTTGCTTGTTTTAATTTATATGATGTCAGTAGGTCAAAATAGAAACCTAAGACTTTCTAGACATAATCAAAATTGAGAATATTGAGTCCTTTATGCATCTCTTTACAAAACGCAGGAAAAATCGTATTTCAGCCAAAATATGATATTTTTATGGTGAGAAAAGCAGCTTTTTTCAAAGAAACAAGAAAGTACCTAATTCCCAGCAAAGTAATAGACTCGGAGGCTTTTTATAAGAAGATCTGCTCAAATATTTTCTTGCTTGAAGGAAATGGTGCTGTTACAATATTTTACCCTGAATATAAAAATCCCTAGAATGACATCATTCTGTGGGGAGAAATCTGAGTGTATTTGTGTGCATGGCTGTCCATCTGTCTTCTGAACTGCAAACCAAGCCTACAGGGAGGAGATGAGGGCAGCTGCACATTCATTTCCCTCCCCGGTCGCACGGTGCCAGGATATGAGTTAGGTCTAGCCCCAGAGCTGTGTTATGATCCAGCTTCACCCACAGCAGTAAATCCATCTGCACTCATTTCTGTGCACAGTCACACACTGATGTGCTGGCACAGCCAGTGACTCACAGCCCATGCGGTCTGTGCACCTCTGCCCTGCCCCAGGCAGCAGACCCCCACATGCATGGTCCCAATAGGCAGAGCTGCAACTGTTAAAGCTTGACCATCAAACAATCTCCTTTGCTCCAAAAGGGTCATTGGGTATTGAACAGGCTCCCTAGGGAAGTGTGGAGTCACCGTCCCTGGAAGTGTTCACACACCGTGTAGATGAGGCCCTCAGTGACATGGGTTAGTGGTGGCCTTGGCAGTGCTGGGGTGAGGGCTGGACTTGATGATCTTAAAGGGCTTTTCCAACCTTTAGACTCAACCAGTAGTTGGTTCTTTGACTCTATCACTTACAGAAAATGTAAAGAATTAAGATGTGCACCTTTTTGCTTCAGGCATGTGAATTATTCTACCGTTGGAGTAATGCTCCCGTGCCAAGACTGACCATCCTATGTATTATTCACGGGGAACCTTGCAAAATGCTGCTCAGCCACTTACCTGCCATGAATAATACTGTTTGAGAGACAGGTTAAATACTTTAGCTTTTTAATCCTCCTTCTCCTCGCAGGGAAGGCGGCATACGTGCACTGCCCTGAGGCAACACAGCAATAATGTTTGATAGGGCTTCAGTGGAGTTCGAGCCTGGCAGGCAAAGACTGAAAGCAGAAAACCTTGCACCCAAGAGACAGGAAGAGTGGGAAATGCATGGAGGCAGAGACTTGACAGTCAAGACATGTAAACTCTTTGCAAGTAACCCTTTGAATGCCAGTAGAAGATGTGCACTTACCCTCACATCAGTTACGGAGAGCTCACCAGAGCTCCTCAGTGTTTCTAGCCTAACGCATGAGGGCAATAAGATGGAAAGCAGTGGAGCAACTTGTGCTCCTGGGCCGAAGGTGGAAGATTCATGGCTGAATGTTTCTGGCCTTAATCTGTCTGTAAAAGCGTAAATGCACAAATATTTCTGAGACAAAGAACACTGTGATGAAACTGCCAGCAGGGAATAAACAGATCAGCTCAGCATAACCCTAATGCCCCTCTAGATCCTGCAGGCCCATCACCTACATCTACTGGTCTCATCAGCACACTGCTGAGCATGGGAAATACGGAGAGGATCATTTTAAAGGGTTTTGTGTGCTGTGCCCATTAGGAACCCTTTGAGATGGAGTCTGAAGCAGATGGTGAAATGGGAGAATTAATCATGTTCTTTTGCAGCCTAAAATACGTAAAATAATTCATGAAACAAGGAAAGCCCCATCCAGCCATGGCTTTGCTTTTGCAGCCCTCATAAAAAGCCCCAAGAGGGAGAACCCAGTGCCGCCACGTTCTGCACCACAAACCTTCTGCAGGTTCATTGGCCCAGTAATACCCTGTAAAAAGATACGAAGTCTTCCCCTTCATGAGCTTTTGCTCAGTGGCCTGATGAAAGAGCAAACAAGATGAGGCAGCAAATAAAGCTCACTGTACACTGCTGAATGCTGAAACCCTTTCAATATTCCTTCACACGTTTTCTACACAACATGTTTTGCTTTAAGCTTCTCATCCACTCTTACAATGATACATCATTGCTAGTCCCTCATTTTACAGACAGGGAAACTGAGGCCCTGCTTTCATCAGAGGGGTAAAAGCAAAGTCAGATCTAGACCCTGCGTCACATCCAACCCCAAGATGGTTTTCCTGCTTATTTTGCAGGTGACCTGAGGTCTCCTGAGCTAAACCGACTGCTCTCTGCACAGCAACACCAGCACTTGTAACCTCTCAATTTTTCCCTCACCCAGACGAGCCAGAGGACCTGCGGAACT